AAAACTGGGCAGCAGGGGAACTGGGCAGAGCTGCGGCCCGGGGCGAGGTGAAATGATGCTCTTGAAATACCCTGGACGTCTGTGGCTGAGCATCGCCCTTCCCAGGCAGGAGAAGATTCCTCAGTCCCCAGCCTGCACTCCAAGTAACCCCCTCTACACACCGCATGGGGCAGCCACAAGCTTTGTTTTATCCCCCTCCGCCAAACTGAGCAAGAATGCGCACGCAGGAAACTCGATAAAGATATTTTAGAAAAATGGATAAAGATACAAACTCTACTTGCATCCTCTCTGGCTTTTCTGCTTGGCTCAGCGATCTCCTGCCCACGCTATCCTGGGACTGTGTCTTTTCTCTGAACCTCCCTGTGTCTGCCCCAAACTGAGCTCAGCTGATTACAGGCACCGACACACAGGACCAGAGAAATCACCTGCACAGCCCCAAACTGCAACTCGAACTCTTCCAGGGGTTATCCCACATCCTGTACTGATGACAGCTCCTTCCCTCAGCAGTTTGGAGCCTCAGGCTGTTCCTGGGAACTCAACAAAGTCTGGAATTCCTTAGACAGAACAATGTTACCCCAAAGCCCCTGGAAAACAATGGGACTGATTTATGAATCAGGAGCTGAAAACACTGCACCATTCTACACTTGCAGGATTTACTCTGAGCCCTGGAAACACACCTGGGGAGGAGATAACACTTGTCTAGGATTCTTCTCCATACTTCAGACACTGGGAAATTTGTTTTAAAATACAAACTACACTTGTCCTGAAATCACCTGCTGCCAGAAATCAGATTTTTTTAAAGAAAAGCACCAGAATAGCATAAGAAAAAATAACACAAGACAGCTACACTGACATAAATGCTAAAATGACATGAACAGGGTGACTACCTGCCCTGCAAACTCTCGTGGTGTATTTTCTGTTTATGAGGGACGGAGCCCAAGTCACACCCCAGTACTTCCATTACAAGCCAGTTCCCGGAGCCAAATAACAGTGTAGGTAGAGAATATAAACTTGCCGCGCCCAGTGTGAGAACAATGCACGAAACCGTGTCTTGACCCTGCAACATCTTTGAGAAACCCGCCTGACCCTGACCCAGCTGGAGCAACGCTTTGTATTTGGGAACCACGACAAGGTTTCCAGGCTGCCAGCTCCCCTTCCGAGCAATTTTCCCGGGAAATCACAGACCCCACGAACGCAAAAAGTCCTGGAACAACAACCCAACCACTAAATGACCTGGCTTGGAGCGAGCGACAACGCTACAGGCTGTAAACCTACCCCGTAAACCTACCCCAGCCTCCAGCGGCGCAGAGCATGAGGATCCCGAAGGTCACGTTGAGTTTTCCCATCTTCGCCGCCGA